ATTTTACAAGTTTTGGGGTGAAAAGAACCGGAGAAGAAACCAGGCCCCCCCCCTGCTACGGCAAAGGCGGGACTCAAACCGCCGAAGCGTCGACCATTTCTGGCCAGCAACTTTCAGCGTCATTAAGCCGCTGCGCCACCGCATCCCCTTCAACCATGCAGACACATTTTCTCCATGACGATCTGTCCCTAGCCTGGTCTTTCAGGGTCCTAACTCCTTACCTTTCCATAAATCTGGCTGGTAGGACACTGTGAGAATTTAGTTTTCGTGGCTGCAAGCCATCATTAGGGTCCTGACAGCAGGGTTAGACACGGTTACTCCTTGGGGGAGCGAAGAAAATCACAGGCAAGCTAGACCACGAACCTGGCAAACTGCTTCCCTATGGTTTCCAAGTCAGCCAAAGCCAAGACGGGATTCTCCCAGCTGTGTTTGGTAGGACAGACCAGCCGCTGGAAGAGGCCAGATCCCAAGGCTGGTAAAATTTGGCAACCAGGAGCATTTATGTGCTGGTTCAACTAGTGATCATGCCACCAGTTCACAATCATACGCAAGCATGAGGCCGCACAGAAACGCAGAAACAGCAAGACAACACTCCCACAAAGAGATCCAGCCACAGGAAAATAAAACACCCAGTGACAGGTCAGAAGTTTTAATTGTCACAAGGAACTAAAGCGCTTTGGGGAGATTAAAGCACGTTGCATATAAGGAACCCGTTGCACGCTTCACAAAAATTGTGCAAGAGACGTCCGTATTATCAGAGCAGACTTGGGGCAGGTGGGGAGACAGGAGGGAAGAGGAAGATGAGACTGATAATCAGGACTAAATAAAAGCTTATATAGATATGTACCTACATTAGTAATTGCCCTGCAACTTTAATCGTTTCGTAATAAACAAAACTTCAAGGCAAGCACTTTCCGGATGCTGCCCCCTGTGATGCAGGAGGACGGCTATGACAATCTGGCCCACAACTGAAGAGCTGTGGCTTTCACAGGGCCTTTGATATGCAAATATTAAGCAGACAATAAACACTGGGAGCGGCTTCACCTGTTAATCTGGGCAGATCAAAGCCACCCTAACAGGCATAGCTGCAGGAGCCAATTCGAAGAGCTGGCAACCTGAATGCCCGGCATCTGCCTTTTCCAACCAGAAAAGAGGCACTGGACTATAAATCCCATCCTCCCCACCCGTTATTCCCTGCCTGCATAGATGTTCCCCATACCCTCCTTCCTACGCAATCCTGAGGGGCGGGCCTGCCATTGCACAGCCGCCCTCCCTGGCCGGCCGGGCTTTTCCACGGATTTGCACGGCGCAGGATTACACTCCCCCTCGCTCCCCGGCCGGCAAGCGAGGAGATGGGAGTTGTAGTCCTTGCTAGCCGCAGAGCCTCGGGGCGGGGAAGCCAGCAGGCCCGGGCTTCAACATTGCACGGATTTTGCACGGCGCGGGATTACACTCCCCCTCGCTCCCCGGCCGGCAAGCGAGGAGATGGGAGTTGTAGTCCTTGCTAGCCGCAGAGCCCCGGGGCGGGGAAGCCAGCAGGCCCGGGCTTCAACAT